CGGGGTAGGCGGCCCGCCGCTTCCCGGAGCCGGCAGGGCCCTGGCTAACCGCGCCGTGTCGAGGGGGGCACTGGGAGCCCTCGTGCTTTTTCGTGGCGTTGGGTGGCTTTGCACGGAGGGGAGACCATCCCCTCCCCTCCCGGGAAACTGCGGTAGTCCGCATCAGGCTGACGTCCTCGGCCCTTGGGCGTGCAGTCACTGGCGGCAGCCTGGCGCTGCGCGTTCTGTTTGAGCCAGAACTCGTACGCGCGCAAAGGTTCGTGCTCCGTGACCAGGCTCTCTCGGGGGAAGCCCAGGTGGAAAGCCTCCGGTTCAAACGAACGCTGCTCTGTGCGGCGCAGTCTGTTTGCAGAAGGGCATAGATCCTTGACCCGAGGGGCTTCTGGTTATCTTTTAAAATACTCCCTTAAACAGCGTGCGATAAATTCTGGGCTGAGATCTGTTGAGCTGTCATCTTATCTAATATTCTTGTTTGTCCCCTTCAACAGTAAACATCCTCTACTCAAGTTAAAATAACAAGCTTTGTAATGCTGACTTGCTGCTTTGATATTTATTTGCTAACTAAAGCTACTGTTAGTGATCTGTGATGTCCTTGATGCTTTGCTTAACTTCATGCCACAAAGCTTTTTTATTTACTATTACCAACTTTATTAATAATGTTTTCAACAATAATGTTTTAACAGGACTCACTTTGACTTGGGTCATCTTTCAAGTTTAAATCCCCATTCAGACAGACACATAGGAAAAATCTGGGATGCTTTATAAGTTTCTTCGTGATCCCAGAGATAATCAACCCTAGTGCAGAAGTGCTGCATAAGATAATTCTATATAAGCAACAATTTCAAAACATTCATACAATCCAGAAGAGAATAGAGTAAGCAGCTGCATTTGGAGTATTTCATCAGAATTGGATTAGTGAGTAAAGTATGAGATACATTTTGCAAATTTGGGAAATGTAATGCTGCTTTATAGTAACGTCTGTGGAACTAAAGGTCTAGAACATGATTTAGAGCACATTTTACCTTCTGGTCCTTCCTTATTTTTCTTCTTATTGGAGAATACTAAAAAGTTAAGACAACTCATTATCAGAATTCCTTTTTCATAATGGGTGATTCATGAACATTTGGAAAACTGACAAATATTACTGTCTTTACCATCCTGGTTATGGAACAAGTTGGCAAAAGATTGCCCTGTCCTAAGACAGACATGACATCCCTAAGTTGTAGCCAATGCCTTTTCCCCCTGTTCTGCTGTCTGTCCCCACTATTATATCCTCAAATGACCCTACCTGTGCGGTTCAGCACCTACTGTTGCTTCTCTCTGCTCATACTCCAGACTGTGTGGCTGCCTTTAAAGCCTCTGCCAGTACATCAATTTTTGCAGAGCCTTTGAGCAGCCACACAGGAGTAGGCCTGATACAGCTACATGGAATGGTATATGTGTACCAGTTCAGTATCTTCCTGTTTTTCACCTTATTCAACCTAAGGAAGTTCTGCGAAATCAAACATGCAATCTCTGAGGTTCCACTTAATTCAGCTTTACAGCACAGAGGCACTCAATGAGTCATTTAGAAATGCAGCACTGGAAATTGCAATTCAGATCTACTAGGAAGTCAGCTAAAGGAACTACCTGTTTGTGCAGTGTGAAGGATCATTACACCTCAGCAGAAGCTGCACTGGTACGTCTGAATCTCTGGCCTGTTCTGTTCCTTGCGTTTATACTTATGATTTAATACTCACTTTTCTCTGGCTTCAGAGATGACATCCTGGCCTTTTCATGCCAAGTAGAGACAAGCAAGGGAGATGAGGGCCAGCAGTGCTGTATCAGAATTTCATTTCAGGATCAGCGCAGTCCCTCTGTGGGATTCTGGCTGCTTGAAATAAAATTGCAGAATGAGAAGAAGATAGGAGTCTATGATACTACTGGCACACAGCGCTTAGTCTTGTGTTCTCACTCAAGGATGTGGCTCACCCCCTCTCCAGCAGATCTTTTGACACAGAATCATTTGTTCAACTTCCAAAGGACAGTAGAATAAGCTAGTGTGGCGCCAGGACGCAGATCGGATCCCAGTAGGACAAAGCTCCTTGATTTAAATGCTGGGAATGCTTGTCACCAAAACTTCTAGTATGTAGCAAGAGAGCTTAAACAAATCAGCGGATGAGCATTTTCTGAGTAGTGGTGTCTTGTAATTCCTTTGGCTTATCACATCAATTCTGCATAAACTAAAGAGAATGTATAAATTTGGCCTCTCAAACTTTTTAGTGTTTAACTTCAATTCGATTAAACACTTATGTATGTGTACAAAGTGAAAAATGAGGTTACAAGAGGTTAATGCTTTAATGCTTTTAATAACTCTTAACCACATGGCTGTGTTTTGTCAAACAGAACATGGATTTGTTCTAGCAGGAAAAGTATACGCTAGATAGAAGCATATTGAGGCTTTCCAAAACAGCAAAGCTGCTACAGAACCAAAACCATTTCTAGGCCATCTTTGAAAAATCATAAATAGTATTTCTGTGATGGAATAAATACATAGCATCTCAGAATATAGCTGAGGAGGTTCTTGCTCATAGTGGGAAAATAAAAAAGAAAAGAAATCTAGACAGACCAAAAGCACAGAAAAAGTTGAAGAGATTGGTAACAGATACAGCACAGAATCCTGAGCACAACATAGTATCTGTTTCAGGCATCAGTACTAAGGATGTTAAAACAATGTGCACCAGGTAATGCCTGTAACTCAGCCAGAAACTAGCAGTGGAGTAAATGATGGATAATAATGCACAGAGGAATTGACCGGTAGAAAATGGTAACATCTGTGACAGATCGAGTGGCATCTAAATGCTGGAAGTGGGTAAAAGAATAAAGGACAAATTTCTAGAATAATTCTTGGGTTTTGGGCAAAATCATGTTAATTGTAAGCGTGGTCAGCACAGCCTGAAAAATTTTGGCTAAGTCTCTCAAAGCACAAGCCTCACATAGTAATGCAGCAGACACTAGCTTTTCAAAAGTTAAATGTGACATTTCTTATTTCCACTATGAGTCCTTCCTGGAAAAACTTGGTGTCTAACAGCCACATACTTCAGCAGCTACAGCTTGTTTAAAAAGCAAAACAGACCTCTATCACACCACACACCCCAACGCTTTTTGACTGCTCACTTTTAAAATTAAGTTTTGGTATTAACACAATCATCAGCTACTGTCACAGTTTCACTGGTATTGCCCTCAACAAAATCTGTAGCGCAGAGACTCGCAAACCAGGAGGCCAAGTGAATCCTCTTCTTGCACTTTGTAGCCTATTACTTCAAGGTGGATTACTGTTGCATGAAACAGAGTCATTCTGTGACAAAAGTTATCAGCGAGAAACGCAGTCGTATTGTTCATCTTAATTATCCTGCTTTGATAAATCTTGGAGAGTCACCCATTGCACCACAGCACTCACATTTATGAGTCTAATACTCTTTTTACTATTAAAACAAATGTCCTTAAGATGGAATCCAGGCTGGAAAAAAGAGAAAACATTATCATTGATAAATGGATATAACGAGCTATTTCAGTCTCTCACCAGCAAGACTCCACCGCTGATAAAATGCTGACCAAGGGATTCCACAACAATTATTTTGTAATGCTTAATACAGAGTGTCAAGATATTCTGCTTTATGGAAATCAGGTCCAGGACTTGGCTTCTCTTTGCTGTACCTACAAAGAAGTACAGTCATTTAAGAATCTCAATGCTTAAGGTTACATTTACCAGTATTCTCTATGAACTATCAATTCTGAGATCATTGCAGGAGATTGTAATCAAGCTTTAGTTGGTATCTTTACTTTCTTCCACATTGTGCCTTGCTGAATACTGATGCACTGGAGCATTTTATTGACAAGTCCTGGTCTTCCCGCCAAGGGGAAACACATAGATCTGGCACAGGGTATTGAGCCTGTGGAGATGTAAGGACACCCATACATTTTGTTGGTGTTGAATGGATGGGCTTATTAGTACTGTTCTGCCTTAAGGTAGTGGGACTGCCCTGCATACCAAGCTTAAGAGAATGCACAGAAGAAACAAGAACATTTTGTAGGATGTTTTGAGATTTTCAAGTAAGTTTAAAGCAGTTTGGCTCTTGCATTAAAATTTAACATAAGTCAAGTGTTTAGCTCTTCAAGATTTGTGAAAAGCCTGTAAGCAAATGCATAGTGACCCTAACAACTTCATGATTAAGAAAAAAAATCAGTCTTAAAAAGATCAAAATTGGTTTTCCTCTCTGATCTGATATGGTCTCCCATTATTTCATCCCATGAAAACATTTAAGAACTTAATGAGAACTTTCATCTTCTCCTGAATTATTTCTCTTCTAATTTGACTATGATGATTTGTCTGATATATTTGATGCAAAACAGAAGAGTATTTATATTACCTAACACTAAACCACCTGAATGAACTCATGCTCTACAATGCTAAATGGGAGCTGTTCACTGTATAGATCCCCCTGTCACCCCTTTGGGGGGAATAGTTGAATAATTTCCTATTTGAACACTATATAAATTCAGGTTGAAAGGTGCTGCCTGATGAAATTTCCCTGGCTAGTCTCACTCTCATTCCTCTGCTGAAACATACAGTTTTTCTCTGTAAAGATTATTTCTCTGTTTTTTGCAAATAACTGTACTGCTTTAAAAAGCTACATGTAGGGAAGATAAAAGTTTTGCAAACCAGTGCTCAAAGGAAACGACACACAAACCTTGTTGCTTGAAGCTACAAAAATGAGTACATGTTTAAAACCTACAGAAGGGGGGAAGTACTGGGTGAACTTGTAGTACAAACAGCATCTTTTTTTTATGTTTTGTTTCATCAGTAGAAGTATTACATTGGATCTTAAGCACTTCAGGCTGGCTGGGGCCCCATGCAACAGAAGCCATGCATGTATGCAGAAAAAGATAGTCCCTGACCTACTACACTCACATTCTTAACGTTTCAAGTGAACCAACCACGGTTCTCTCTCTGCTGCAGGCAAAATAGGCAAATAATGACAACAAAACAAGCACGTTTCTCAAGATTCTAGGTTAATTACATTTTAGGCAAATAACAACATAAACCAAACAAAGTCATCTCTGACAGACAATCCCATGCCTCTTCTGTTCTTTGCAACCCTCCTCGTCACTGATGCCTATATACAGTTTAGTACCATTCCCACACAAGCTTCATTTGCCTGTCCTCAAGTTTTGCATCCAAATTGTTGGTGAATGTGCTGAATACAACAAGGGACAATTTCCTACTACTGTAGCTTCTGGACCTGATACTATCTTGGAACATGTGATCCAACAATCAAAACCACCACATACAACAGATACGCATCCTATTCAAATTAAATCTTTCTCTCTGTTGAGAGTCAGGAGTGCAAGATAGGCCAACATGCAACAGTGCTAGTCACAAGGCTTTGCGCTGTTTCTCACCCAGGGCTTAGGTTCATCCATGCCATGCAGAAAATCCTAACAGTGCCAGAAGATTAAGAAATAATCCAGAAGAGAGGGTGAACAGAAAGCTTGCAGTTTTTTCGTGAGTTCCTTAACAAACTGTAAATGCAAGTAGCTCTCAGAACACAAATTTTTCGGCATGTATTTGTCTGCCAGTGTATTTTATGCCTCTAAAACATTTTATTTCTCTAAAACAAAAATAGGTGAAGATTAAGTTACATCATTTTAATACATAAGCTGTATTGTTAATACTCGACTTTCTTTAATATTCTTCAGAACAGTTTACTAACAGGAGAGACTTAATTCTATAATGAAATAATCTGTATTTCAATATAACCTTTAACTCACATATAACAACAATTACTGTAATTAGCAATTAGTTTTCCAAAGGCTCCCAGTTGTTTAGTATTTGACTCTTGCTTTCATCATTTAATGATTTACAGTAATGAGCTGGAACATCAGTATTTTGTACTGAAATGGCCAAAATAGCTGGCCAGGCATCATTGCCCTCATGTGACAGATCTCAGATGTTTTTGTGAAAAGTTAGCCAAAAGCAATAGACCATGCCATCACTTCTGTTTCATTTTTACTGAAAAACAACAAAGTGACCGTAATAACTTGTAGTCAGAGTCTCAGTAGCTTTTGAAGGACTGTTACTTTGCTGAGATTCTGCCCTTTAAGTTTTGTTTGACAAATGCTTTATAAATGAGCAGAAGAGGTGGTTTATGTTTCATTAATGAGGCTGATAGTGGTTAATTACTGAAGTTACGTAAACAATCCAATACCAGATCAAGCCAAATGGGTCAGTTATGTAGAGAAGATCCAGCTGGAGTAGATATGATTTCCTTTAACTATTCGGATACCAAACAAATTACAGAGATCTACAATCTCTAGTTCAGATGAACAAAGGATTCTGCGTAGCTTGAAAATTAATCCTCTCAACAGACAGCGATCTAGGGAAGCTCTTTCTTGATCTGCAGTTTCAGCACTCATCAAATTCTTAGACCTAACTGCATAAAGGCAGACATTCTATGTAGATAAGATTGCACAGAAGCTCACAGTTTACACTAATGATGGAAATGAGGCTGCAAAAGCTGTGCAATGCAAGGTGTTCAGGTCAGACTGATGCCATCAGATCTAATTATTTTCTATGGAAAACATGTGTGTCTCTTATTCTCCACTTCAGTGGCACTGCTAGATTTTGGCTCGTGACGTGAACTTGTTCAGCTAGTATTTTCAGGCAGTATCTATGAGTAACATTTTGTTTAACCACCTCTAGTAAAGCATGCTTGAAGTTATTT